CCCTGGGCCCGGGCAAAAAAAGCGGCTGCTAGATGGGACCCGGAAACAAAGAATCCTCCGGGCTGTCTGGGTCTCGTCCACCCCAACAGTGTGGCCGGGGGGACCGAGGGGCTGACTCAACTCTCGGCCTGGCGAGGACCCGGGCGTCTGGTGCAGCCCGGAGGTGGTGCCCTTTTGCTGAAACGGGGAGGCCCCCAACCCACCCCACCCCACCCCCGGGGGAGGGGGAGGGCGGGCCAGGACAGCCAGACGCTGAGCTTGGACAAGCACAGGCTGTGCTGTGGTTGTCTTGTTACAAATGGGGAAACTGAGGCCCAGCCTACAGTCACACAGCCAGCAGGTGGCAGACGGCCTGAGGACGGCACTCCGGGCAGGCCCCGTGCCCATCACCACCCCTTTCCTCCCCATACCACCAACAGGGAGGGAAGTTGCCCAACTCTGCCCCGCCCCCCTGCCCCACTTCCCTGGCCTGAGCCCCCCAAGGGAGCAGATCAGAAGAACGGGGGGGGGGGAGCCCTTCCTTCCCCCTGGTCGCCGGCCTTCCTGTGGCTTCTGCTTGGTCACCAACAGTTCCAGTCCCATGACCCGGGCTGCCTTATCTCTGGCCTGGGGCGGGGGAGGGGGGGGGCGGCGGCCATGTTCTTAGAAGCTGGGCTTCAGATGGGCAGAGATGATTGCCAGCACCTGATAAAGTGGCACGGGATGGCGGAGCCGGTGCGCGGCGCCCTCCCCTCCCCTCCTGCAGGCCCATCTTCCGCTAGCAAGTCCATATTCCAGGCTTGGGAAGGAGCAGCCCTGAGGGCCAACCACAGCCACCAGGGATGGGGCCCTAGCTTCCTTGCCTGAAAAGGAGGCAACTCTTGCCCCTACGCCCTGCGTTGTGGGGTAGACCAAATGAGGGGGCCCGGGCCCGCGACAGGTGCTCCCTACAGGGGCGTCGGCCACTCATGCACTGCTTCAGGCCTTCCGCCTCGTCTGGAATTCCTCCTCTTCCGCTGTGGTCTTTCCAAAGCCTGCGCCCCGTTTAAACCCAGGTCTGGATCCTTCAAAGCCAACCCAGGCCTCCCCCGTCCCAGGAACCTCCCTGACCTGGAATCAGCCCCTTTAGGGAACAACCAGCACCCTGGGAGGTGGTGTCCCGACAGGTGAGCCAGGGCCGCCATTGTGGGGAGCGCTGAATGACCTTGGGGTTTTCCCCCATTGTGTGTGTGTGTTTGCGGTGGCGACGGAGCCGGGGCGGGGCGAGGGGGCGCTCCGTGTCCCATTTTTTCCGGGTTGTGCATAATTTATTTCTATAATTAGAACAGAATCCCAAACAAATGCTATCTTCAAGGAGGATCAGCTTCTGCGGCCGAGCGCTTCGTGGGAAGACGCAGCTGCGCCCTCCTGACTGTGGTAAAGCTGACCGTGGGCTTGCAGGTGGCATGATCCCCGGGGGCAAGCGCCTGGGCCTCGCACAGGAAGCTGTGATCCCCGGTCCTCCGGGTGCCTCCTGCTGTCTGTGCCAGGCCCAGGGTCCTCCTTGACTTTCCCAGTTCACAAGTCCAAGTGTCTTTGCAAGTGCAGCTCCAATGCCATGGACGGCAGACTTCCCCTGCCGCACCTGCCCCCGAGATGCTGCAGGGCCCTGGTCCTCGTGTGGCGCTTCACTTGGGTTGAGAGTCACCTGCCTCCCCAGCTGGACGCCGAGGTTTCTCAAGAGCAGGAAATGCATCCTTCTCCCCCACCCCCACCCCGTCTCCCAGCCCCTGGCACGACGCCTGGCGCACAGCTGAGCAGGTGCTCGGGGAAGCCGAGCGTGGGACTCTCCCGAGTCCAGATTAGGGCTGGAATGATAATGACGGTAGCCACCGTTTGGCCTTGAGTCTTTACCTGCTCTTTCATTGGATTCTGTCCCCAGCAGCCTAGAGACCCCGGTGCTGGTCAGTGTCAGTGCATCTCACGGGAGAAAGGGAGAAAGGCCTGGGCCTTAGCCACCGCCGCCTTTTCCTGTCTCAGTTTCCTTCTCTGTCCTGGGACCTGACACCTGCTCTCCTTCCATCCTTCCTTCCTTCCTTCCTTCCTTCCTGGTGGTGGCAAAGGTGAACAGGACGGTCCGTGCCTGGACATTGGCGTCCAGCAGCCTGGGGAGGGAGGCGAGCCTTCTCTGGTCCCTGGGCCACGTGCTCTCTGAGGGTAGTGACGGCGAAGAGGAAGGGGAGCTCCCGTTGTGGAGGGAGGACTCGGCGGCACTGGGCAGGCTGGCGCTGGCCCGCCCCACCTGCGACACTGGCCTCCTCCCTGGCCAGCTGCAGCCTCGCGAGCTGTCTTTCCCCGCCTGCCTGGCTGTACCCTTACTCGGAATGTTCTGGGGCTTCCTGCCTCCTACCTGCCCTCGGGTCCGATTGCCCAGGACAATCCTCCTGTCCCAGCTGTACTGGTCGGTGCTGGTTAGAGGCAGACAGAGCCTTAACCTTCCTGGAGGCACTCCACTATGGTCTAATGAAAACAACTCCATCATTACGTTGTTACCATCTGCCTCTCCTGTCGCCAAAGGCTCCCCGGGGGCAGGGAGGGCCCTGCCTGCTCTGTCCTGGCTCTGTCCTAGAGCCACCAAGCCAAGCATCCCCGTGGGTCTCACGGACAGAAAGACTGAATGAAGGAAGGACAGATGCGTCCTTTGGCCCCTCCCTCACTCAGCCCACCGGCACGGTCCAGCCCACAGGCACGGTCCAGCCCACCGGCACGGTCTAGCCCATGGGCACGGTCCAGCCCACCGGCACGGTCTAGCCCACCGGCACGGTCCAGCCCACCGGCACGGTCTAGCCCATGGGCACAGTCCAGCCCACCAGCACGGTCCAGCCCACCGGCACAGTCTAGCCCACCGGCACAGTCCAGCCCACAGGCACGGTCCAGCCCACCGGCACGGTCCAGCCCATGGGCACAGTCCAGCCCACCATCACGGTCTAGCCCATGGGCACGGTCCAGCCCACCGGCACGGTCTAGCCCATGGGCACTGTCCAGCCCACGGGTACGGTCCAGCGGAGGATGTCGCTTGGACCTGAAACTTTTGCAGCAGGAACCAGAGGGAGTCTGAATCCTAGCTCTGCTACTTCTCAGCTGTGCAATGTTAAGAAAGTTACTCAACCTCTCTGTCCATCTGTATGACTCTATTAAGAAATATTAACAGGGGTCGGGGTTGTGGCGTAGTGGGTAAAGCCACTGCTCGTGACACTGGCATCCCATATGGCTGCTCCACTTCCAGTCCAGCTCTCTGCTGTGGCCTGGGAAAGCAGTAGAAGATGGCCCAAGTCCTTGGGCCCCTGCACCCACGTGCAGGACCTGGAAGAAGCTCCTGACTCCTTCCTGCCTTTGGCCTGGCCCAGTCCTAGGTGTTGCAGCCATTTGGGGAGTGAAACCAGTGGATGGAAGACCTCTCTCACTCTCTCTCTCTCTCTCTCTGTAATTCTGCCTTTCAAATAAATAAAATACTTGTTTTTGAAAAAAAGAAAAAGAGATACTAATTCTACCCCCCCACACACTGGTGTAATGGATGTGGGGATTACGTGAGTTAAAAATGACAACGAGTATGATTGTAATTATTGTTATGATTGTTGGTAATCACTCAAAGGGTTCCTCCTCCCAATTAATATCTTTGTCCTTTCTCCGCAGGAGCCAAGGTCTTGATGACAGGATGGGGACGGCCTGGGAGGGCAGCCAGGAGACTAGTTCAGCATGCCCCGGCCCTGTGACCCAGAGGAAGTCACTCCCCTCCGCCCGCCCGCCCGCTACCCAGATGACTAACCCGGCAGCAATCACATTTCCTAATTTGCTGCCTCCCAGGGGTGTGGGGGAAGATTAAACAGAGAAATGAATGAGATTATTCTCTGCACAAATATTTGCTGAACACCTACTGTGTTCTGGGGCTTGGGGGAGGACCCAGCCGGAACAAGCCGGCACAAGCCCTCTCTCCAGGCGCGGCGACAGGGCAGGGATTAGGGGGGGAAGTGCCTCCGCGCCCCAGAAAGCTCGGCTCTGCAGCAGAAGGGGCAGTGTGGGGTGGCTGAGGCTGCTCTGCGGGGCCAGCGGTGCAACCTAACGGTCTGGCCTCGCTCCCGCCTCTGCCTCTTGCCAGCCATGTCAGCTGGGCACCTCCCAAAGCCGCCCAGTCTTCCTTTATGAAACAGACTTGGAAATTCACGTTAGAAAAATAAAACAGCGCTTCCTCACGGTGCCGGAGTGAGGATTAAGTTCATGTGTACAGAGGGCTCAGCCCGGAGCCAGCCGCAGCTATGCCATCACCAGGTGGCGGTTTTGGTCAATGCCATGGCCTTGCCACCTGGCACCTGAGGATGCAGATGTGACACTGTCCTTCTAAGAGACGGGGAGAGTGGCTGCGATCTGGGGACCACGTCCACTGCCCACCTCAGGGTCTGTATTCTGCCCACGATCATACAGGAACATTAAAAGATTTAGAACGGATGTATTCCAAACTGTTAATAAGGGATGGGAGGGGCGTTAATGTGGAAGAGAAAGGCAAAGCAGTGGGGGTGGGGGTGGGGCGGAGGCAGACAGAGACAGAGAGATCTTCCACTTGCTGTTTCACTCCCCAAATGGCC